TGACATTGGACAAGGAATTTAATTTATACTTAGTTGAAAAGAGTTTAAGGTGTAGAACATTGGGTTACGATTTTGCGGTTTGAAGGTCTCGTGTAAGCCACAAATTTCCTGTTTGTTTTCGTTTGAGTTGTAGGTGGGATCCTCTGATGAATCTCATGTTAAAGCTAGAAACTCGTTTAGTGGTCTTTGGTTTTCTGCACTCTTCTGTCTAAAGCGAGTTCTTGATGCATAACACATTCAAATTATACGAAATCACCCGGTTAACCAGTTTTAAATTATTTGTTTAATTTATGTCTCTTAACTCCAATTCTAATTTCTAAAAATTATTTATACAAACTGACTCAGTTTATTTATATTTATGCGTAACTGTGCGTCAGTGTGAAGTTACTTGTTTTCGTTTTAAGATATTATATGTCATTCATTATTTCTGTTTTTATGCATTGTGCTTACACCTATTGTCGTGAGATTATCCTATAACTGTACCTAATCAATATATATAATTTGTTGGTTCTGTTATCCTAGTTTTAAACTTCAAGGATTTAGCGAGATGGTGAAAAGTAAAAATCATAACATTATTCGAAATTCAGTTTGAATATTTTACTGAAAATATTCATCTTCCGGCTTTCATTATCTTTCAGGCCTATATCGTGGACGCCAGACTCCATGGGTTCGTATCAAATTTCATTTTGAACGTTGTTTTTCTCACACATCTATTCCACTCAAGCTAGATAAGAAGTAAACTGGTTATCTACATACACGTAGTTCAGTTGACTTGCTACGTCCTTTAATAGGAAAATGATTTTATAGGATTTTATCATATCTACTCTAATCGTGAAAGAACGTTTTTCGCTTAACCTTAGCTTTCATTGAGAAGCTATAACCACTTTACAAATGACTATAATTAGTGGTATCATACCACCATTTACCAATACTTGATAAATAAATGGTTAACATTATTGTTAGCTCTTTTTTTCACTATCACATTCCTTATATATGGTAGTAGGTTTGTGTGGATGAACAAGATGCTAGTTTTATCATTCCATTTTGAACGTGAAATGGAGACTTCTATTAATGATTCCACCATTTCAAGTTTTTCTTATTTATTTATCGTATATAATTCAGTCTTTCTCATTACAATAAACGATATATTCGAAGTAATTAAGCTCTCCTTCCCTTCATTTGTAAAGTAATCAATGGGCCATATATTGGGATATCTTTGGCAAACATTTTTTCACAACCATATAAATATTCTATGAATGACTCAAATGGAAATATTCGTAATTACTGTTAAGTTTTGATGAAATATCTAAATAATGTACTAAATATTAAATCAATTAACTGGTTTACACAAATCATATCACATAATATTTGAAGCGAAGTTTCATGAGCTTTGGTGGGTTGGTAGCTAGGCACAAATATAAGTAGCTTTCATGGCTTTTATCAAAGCGAATGTCCGGTGTTTTAACCTGGTTAATGGATGTGGATGATCCACCTATGGAAGTTGGAAAATTCTGATTCCAAACTCAATGGTGCACATGGGCTCGAGCATCTTGAGTGAACAAATGGTGTATGAATCCACTGTTGGTCATTGGCTACCATAGGACTGCATCTCCTAACGTTGCTCCACTGTCTAGTGGATTAGACCTTTAGGTCAAAGGTTCGGGGAGTAGCTCTCTAAGAAGACCACCTGCTTTGGTTTGGGCGTTTGGGCAGTATTCTAGCCCTCACACAAATCGAATGGTGTGTGCCCTCATGTTTAACCAAATAAATAAAACAGGCGAGGAGGCCCACCGACCTCTTTGGAATTCAAGAATCGATTATATTGCTCACTGGTCCAATCTTTTGATTTTGATTGTTTGTGTGCTCATCTTTGAGGCACACTGTATTGCTTCACCGCTCTGAAACAAACCCAAAAAGTAGGAAACACTTTTTTTTAAATCTTACATGTATTCCAAATATTGGTCTCAGATACTTGAACCTCCGAGTGAGCAGTGTTGAGGCCATGAGTAAGGTACTAGGTAAAAACGGCAAGTCGATTAATGAGACTACAAGCCTTTACTTACTGATTTGATTGGAATGTTTGTTACACATGTTTTAGTACCTTCCACTCCGACGTTCAGTTCTGACTTGGAAGGAACCACGGGGAAAAGTTTATGACAGCACTGATTCCTGAATTTGTCGACTGCTGGACTGTATCATACTGGTATATGTGGACTTTCAGATAGGCGTCTGTGCAACAAAATTAGTCTATGGTTAAAGACCTTGGGTGATATGGCTCAGAACCACTCAAAGTGATGTAGTTTTATTTATTTCCTCTTCTTCCTCTAAATTTTGAAACAATCGTCATTCCTAATTTCTCATTACTTTATCTTCATAAATTTTGGACTTTATTTATCTTGTGAAGATTTCATTGTAGTTTTTATTGTTATTCTCTCTCTTTTGTCACGTATCTTGTTAATTTTCTCTCATTGTTTTGATATGAAGTGCAACAAGTTAGACCCATATATATTCACGGTAAGTTTTGCCCTAAACATGGTTGACTTACTGGGTGATTCATCTTTCTGAGCACTCAACTACTAATGAGGTTGACTTGAAGGGTGAAATACAACAGTCCACTTTCGTGTTATTTTTTTATGGCGAAGTCTGGTGGTTGATATAAGAAAGAAGATATTTGTAAGTGGCTCTCTTCACCAGATAAGCTCTGAGTTATCATTAAAACCCAGGGTGAACTTGGGATCTGCTTTGCTCTAGTATAAGGTTCTTTATCAGTGCTCTTACAAGACCCCCATCAGTATTCAAATCTAAAACCTCCAGGTTCTGAATTGGTTGAGTTCGAAAATGTAGACTATTGGATTCGAAATCGGTTGTCTAAATGTTAAGGGTTGGTCTGAAGGCATGTAGATCCTAGGTTCAATACTTGATCGAGTAATGGGCATGTACTGTCTAGGAGTGCCTTGGATGAACGAAACAGCTGTTCAGTACTCCTCAGTTTCCTATGCAACCCATGATGGAAATGACCCCTAATTCAAGTGTTGCGATGGTTAAAGCAGTTGACTTTCTGTCTCAGGTTCAAACACTGCTCCACCTATTTCGGTCTAAGCAACCGGGTAGTTTCGTTAACCCTCAAACTTTGAGTGTATCTTAAAGTCAGTTATACAAATCTGTGCTTCAAAAATGAGTTAATGATGGCATATTTATACAAAATATGATTTTTAGCAAAAAGAAGGGAGATTTTCATTGTTGCTACAGATCTAATGGAGTCGAATGTGATGATATAAAATGTATTAATTAGTGTACTTAGTTATTTTGTCTATATGTAACACAGTCAAAATGTACCACTAATCACCAATAAGCAAGTGGACTTCATCGCTTTATTCAGCACTGTTCATCTTTATAATTGGATATGGTTGAATTAATGAGTGTTCATCTGTGTACTTGTGTGCATGTTAACATTTACAAAACTGGAATATTTATGAAATCAGTAGATTTTTTCTCAGACTATCATGACTGTCTACCAGTACTTTGTCAGCGTCACTTATCACATGATAAGTTTGTCCTTAAGTTTTTATGAAGATATTTGACATCTTATACGCTTAAGTATATGGGGTTGATTTGTTCATTTAAACAGAAAGAAATGTTAAGCTTGAATAAAAATGTCTAGTTTGCTTAATAATTATACTCATTTGACGTGATCAGACTACAACTCTTCTATTAGTATGTTTTATTTAGGACAATGGAACCAAAGTAGATGTCATAAACTATGTTGAATTTAAGTAATGAAAATGATAATTATTGATTCTTATTGTTCAATGATAATGAAACGAAAATGAATATTTAAAAAAGATAATTAATGAATCTGAGTAAATTTATTTTAAAAATTCTAAATATCATGATTGCGCTCTTGATGAAACTTCTAATTGTATCCGATAATATGAATTTACGGTTTCACCGCTCTTCTCTCTGTCTCTTCTCATCCACTCATCTAAGATATAGAAACGGATGTCCTGGTTGTTAGTTTTACATTTTACATTGTGTCACATTTAACATGGTGTATTTACTGTTTAAATCCGCAGATCTGTCAGCAGACAATACAGGGGGTGAATTCGAATTTATTTTCGCTCAGAAGAGTCTTGTATCTAGTACAAAATCTTCCTGCAGTATGCACCCGTATATATATATATATATATATATATATATATATATATATATATATATATATACCTGTTTGCGCATATATATAAAATTAAGATCAGACGACCTGATAAATTCCTTTTTGTGTACGTACAAAGAGAGAAAACAAATCACCTCAGCTAATATCACTTCCCCCCTATCTCACCATACTTTACTTAGTCAACTCCTGTTTTCAGTGTGTCACTAATACTAGAGTTCACTCGACTACATACCGTCATATGGCGAATAAATATAACATGTATTTTACGATATAAAATAGATTTACTCTCTAAATGTTTTTGATCAAGATCTTTCTGAAAGGCTAGTGCTTATATTTTTGGTTAGAACTTCAGATGTCCGGATGTGGGAAGTGCTTCAAAGAAAGTTGATTTCAATTGATTCATTGCTATTTGGAATTATGCGCAGATATTTTTCTGTTGTCTTTTTTCACTTCCAATCTGATTATCTAAGATGTCTTCATTCCTAACTTGATATACTTATATGAACAACATCTGACTTCAATCTTATTGGTATAATTACAGTCAGATATCCAAAGTGGTCATAAGTGTTCATCTTGAGTAGTTCCCAATATATGACTTGATAATTTTTTCGACTATTCAGTAGATCCAAGTTCGTTATGAAACAATTGTTATAGTAAATTATTCGACTTCCATATAACTACCAATTTAAAGAAGTGTTGTGGTCTTTGAACATAAACGTATTATTTGAAAGATTTCACATAGTTTTGCATGGACCACTTTCGTATTGTTATAACAAGTCGTTCCTTTAACTCTAATGTTTGTTTTTTTTCTCTTTCATTTCCTACTTAGAATTCAAGTGCATTTGGTAATCTGAATAATTACTCATCTGCGGCTGCTGCCGCCGCTTATCACCACTTATCACGTTGTAATACTAGCAGTAATAATAATAATGCAGACGATCAACTTGAATTAATAGGACGTCATAATTATACGAATAATCCAACTTCTTCCTCGTCATCGTCATTAACTCATTCCTTTATCACATCATGTGCATCTCCATCTATTTCAGTACGATCTAGTCTTCAAGAATTTTATCAGAATCATCATCACCATCAGCATCATCATCATCAACAACAGCAACAGTCAATTACTAGACCACCAGTTCAAGAGTTAACAACACGTCGACTTTTATCTGAGGCAGCTGCAACAGCCTATGCACATGGTCTAGGTAATTATTTTTTTATTCACACATTTACTTATAAATTAATAATAATAATAATCGAAATAGGGTTGTGGCGATCTGAAGTTACTTCAAGAAGACAGTGAAAGATGGTCTCCCAATATAATGAATTGATCGAAGTAAGACCTGTACACCGTTGGGCCACCATCTTAGTGGTCTGGAGGCTAGGCATCCACGCGTAGAACCGAATGCTTCGGGTTCAATTGCCGGTTGCGGGATCGTGGATATGCACTGCTGAGGAGTCCCATACTAGAACAGAATGGCCGTCCAATACTTTCAGATTTTCGATGGTTTTCTAATTAAGACTGGTTCGCGATATCAGTATTTAATATGAATTTACGCATTTTGAAACAGATGTTTTTCCAAACTTGTTAAATATTATTTTGGCATAACTCGCCAAGTATAACAGCATAAACTATTTTGAAGTACACGAATACAGATCTTATGGAAACTAGTTTGCCTATCGATTATAGTGGAATAAAAGTTGATTTTTGGTTGACTCAACTATTGTTTTAGTTTTGCTGATAGAACATTAGTACTTATCATTTAAACTTGAGTTTGATTTCATTTGGTCAAAGGTTAGCTATGTGAACATGTGTTTCCGCTCCATCGCTCAATGATTCTTAACAATTGTTTTCTGATTCGAATCTTCAGGGTCAATACTTGGGTAAATACATTCATACCGGACGCATATGGAAAATATTTCTTTCAGTACTATACCTAATTATCTTTTTAGATTAAGAAAGATTCTACGGTTAAACTGATCTAGTATAATAGTTCGCGAATGTGGTGTATTAATGAGTTTTGAAAAGGTCGAAATTATGGTTAGATTTGATCTCAACTTACCCAGTTTCATAATCAACGACATTACACTATGTTAAGTGATTGGAGTTAGTCTACAGGTAACCTTACTTGATCTAGGTTTTATGCTATTTGGCATTCATAAGGAAGGAACAAACTGATCCTATCCGAATCTGTTCACACTAACTTCTCATTCGATAATAACCACTTTCATTATGTCTTAGCCCTTAGTATTTGTCCAATTAAATCATTCAAGGTATTTTTCATTAACGATTGATGCCGAAAAATGGGATTATCAGAAATCCTAAAATACTGAACAACTGTTGCACTTTAAATTTAGTCTTATCATCATCATGGTTCTTTTTTTCACCAATTGAATTAATAAATTCTAATGCCTCATATATCCAAAAACATTGGTGCAAAAAACTGGGCACTATACAGATGGAATGAGTAATAATCCTTTTACTCTTCCATAGCATATGTGATAATATATGCATATAGAGTTAGTTATATAGTTTAGTAGTTCTATACAAGTTTGTCTTCACTTTTCATTATGAGAGCCACTTTATTATTATTTACTCTGATGTAAACCTGGAGTAGTTCAAATTTACGACGTATTGGTTGATGTATAAACTGTATTAATCATCTGACACAATACAATCTTAGATACTTCTGATAATTCTTGTTTTCATCTATCACTTTGTACCATCTTGCTTCATAATATTATTGAATAAATAGGTTCCTAATTGACGAGTGTAAAACAGTATAAAATCTCATGCAATAATGCATAGATTCATAAATAGGACGTTGTGTAAATCTTTTTTGGAAAAAATTGAACTGTTCACTGAAAGCGGTTATATGTGCTAGGTTTGTTATTCTTTGTTCTCATTTTGCTTATGCTTCAGTATGTAAGATTTTACCAAAATATGTCTGACTTATTTAGAAGGTAATAAGCAATGCTTACCAATTAAAGCAATCTGAGATAGTTTATATCAACTTTCACCTACCGTTAACATTAAAATCTCAATGAGTAGTCCTTCATATTTTCTAATCACTCAATAATAAATACTTTTGTTAAACAGGTAATGTTTTGTAGTATTTGTTGAATTTTCCAGCTTGCCCAATAAGTTGACTAAAGCAACTTTCAATATTTAACCTCCTCAATCATTTTACTGATAGTGAAGTAGTGTTTGATACTGTTTCTAGCTTATGTAATTAGTTGATCGGACGTTTAGCTAGTGATTGATACTGATTCGGTTTGTAGCTTCTAACTACTTATTCAGTCAGTCAGTCAGTCAGTCAGTCAGTCAGTAACAACGTAGAACTTCGTACGTACGTACATCAGTTCGAGTTGCCACACCACATTAGCACAGAGATGCAGTGGTCGATTCAAATCCCGTAGTGGTAGAGGTAGCAAGAGTATAAGCAGTAATCGGGAAGATTAGGGTTTGGAGATGTTATTTAAAGAGTATAATCCAGTGAAAGAAATTTGGAAAGAGGGAAAAAGGGACATGAAGAATTCAGAAGATTAGAGTTTTGGAGAACACAGAGAGTGGATGCACCTGCGCCATTGCGAACGATTTTGAGCCATGTCATTCAGGGTCTCTAACCATCGGTTGCTGTCATCTCGCGGTCCCCAACCAGGTAGTCTACACCTACCAACATGACTCAGTTCACTTGTCAGTGACTTCATGGACTTGTGCCATGTTTTGGTTTGGCCGCCCCTAGCTTTCTTCCAACCTACTCCTATACCACTGAACATAGCACGTCGAGGCAGTCGGTCGTTGGGCATACGTAACACGTGTCCCAGCCATCTCAACTGATGAAGTTTCACTACGTCATCAATTGATTTGCCATCCTTACCTAGTACCCGTTTCCTAACAACTGTGTTACTTACTCGATGGTCCCATGATATACGAGCAATGTTTCGAAGACACCTATGATCGAATACTAGTAACCTACGGATATCCTCTACTCTTATCGGCCATGTTTCACTGCCATAAAGTAGGACGGAACGAACTGCTGCACAGTAAACACGTCCTTTGGTTGATAGACGGATATCTCGCCTACGCCATAAATGACGCAAGTTGGCAAAAGCTAGTCGAGCCTTCTGTATCCGTGCTGAGATTTCGTCACACACCAAACCACAAGGGCTGATGAGACTTCCAAGATAAGTGAAGCGGTCGACACACTCAACTACTTCACTCCCTATCACTAGTTCGGGTGTCGATGTAACCCAATCCTGAAGCAACATTTTGCATTTCGAGGGAGAGAATCGCATCCCGAACATGCTTGCATTGTTGCTTAGAGTGGTCAGAAGACTCTGCATTTTGTCAGCGTCTTCACCAAATAAAACTATGTCATCTGCATATTCTAAGTCAACAAGTGAACCTCCTGGTAGAAGTTCAACCCCTGTAAATTTAGATGAGGAGAGTGTTATCTCTAAAAGTACGTCAATGACAAAGTTGAACAAGAATGGGGAGAGTGGACAGCCCTGACGAACACCACTTGAGGTGATCAATTCTGATGACAGTTCGCCATAAGCTCTCACTCTACCAGTTGTGTTCGAGTAGAGAGCCTTTATAAGGTTAATGTACTTCTTTGGTACTCCTTTCAGTGACAAACACTGCCATAGAACCTCACGATCAACGGAGTCGAATGCCGCCTTAAGGTCGAGAAATACTACTATTGTGGGGCGTCTGAATGTGTGTCTCTGTTCTAGAACCTGACGTAGTGTGAATATCTGATCTATACAACCACGTCCAGGTCGAAAACCAGCCTGGTTTTCTCTAGTCTGCTCTTCACGAGCTTTAGTTAGGCGTCGAAGTATTATTGAGGCCAATATTTTAGACACTATATTAGTCAAACTGATTCCTCTGTGATTGTCACAAGAGGACTTTTGTCCTTTCTTAAAAACTGGCACAATCAGTGATTGAGACCAGTCAGATGGGATTACGTCCAGTTCCCAAATTCTACCTAAGACCTCAGTTAATCTTGCTGCTAATACTGGACCACCATCCTTAAAAATCTCAGGAGTAAACCTGTCAGGGCCTGCTGCTCTCCCTCGTTTCAGATTTCCTATGGCTTTTTCAACTTCGTAAAGGGACGGAGGACTTACATTAACTTGCCATTCAGGTTGACTGGAGATCGTGGGAAACCGAAGTGTGGCTGAAGGCCAGTTGAACTGATCCCTAAAGTGTTCTGCCCATCGATCCAATCTCCTGGATTGAGAATGAATAATATGTCCATCTTTCTCTGAGATTGTTTCGCTAACGGTCGGGTTCCTAATTCCGGTTTCCTTAACGAGTCTAAACAATTGTCTGCTATTACCTATTGCCGCTGCCTTTTCCATCTCTCTTGCTTTCGCTACCCACCACTGTTCACGATCATTGCGTAGACTTCTTGTCAGCTTGCGCTTAAGCTGATTCCGCTCTTCATTATGTTCAGAGCCAGGTGGAATGAGTTTTCGAGCATCTATCAGTGCGATAGATGCTGCTGAGATCCAGTGTTGCTCCCTAATTTTACGGTTTACCTTACTAGCAGATATCACTGCTGTTTCCACAGCTTTTCGGATATCGTTCCATGCTGCCTCGGGGTGGGCATCACATACATGGCTGCCTAACTGTTTTCCTAGTTGTTCCTGAAATATATTCTTAGCTTGACTATCATTAAGTAGGGCCCTAAGAGGTTTCCTTGCAGGATCTTTCCTAAGTCCAGTAAGACGCAAGGAAATACGCGCTCGCACTAGAGCATGATCTGAATCTAGGCATGTGCTCCAGAATGAGCGACAGTCTTCTATCGAGCCCCTCCATCGGTGGCTGATAGCGATGTGATCTATTTGGGTCCAACGTTGGGACGAATTAGGGGGTCGCCATGTTAAAAGATGTTTTTCCTTATGCTTAAAGTTAGTATTTACAAGGAACAGGCGGTTATCTGAGCATAGCTGCAACAGACGGTCGCCATTATCTGTTCTTTGAGCCACGACACCATAGGATCCACCTAGGTGTCTTTCCTTATCGCTTAGTTTACCTACTTGAGCATTAAAGTCACCGGCCACTATTACTACATCCGAGCGCTTAGCTTTTCGGAGAAGGTCCGAAAGCTTTCTGTAAAACTCATCTTTTACATCATCTGAGCTGCAGTCAGTGGGAGAATAGGCAGAGACGACGAAGAGGCAACGACGAGTG